TGAGGCGGAAGGATTGCCGGAGCCCAGCAGGTCGAGGCTGTAGTGGCTGTGAGTATGCTACTGCCCTCCAGCCTGGGAGACAGAGTGAGACTTCAACTAAAAAAAAAGAAAAAAAAAAAGAAAAAAATTATCCTTGAGGTCTCCACCAGCCAGTATGCCTGAAGAGTTTGAAGACATAACTATCACAACCATTGAGAATTATCACAAAGGGAGACAGACAGGTCAACAGTGTGGAGAATGAGTCTGTGGAAGATGGGTCCCCCAAGCGCTACACCAGGGACAGAATGGCTGCCTCCTGCTCTGGAGTCTCCTCCAATAAGTGTCGGGCAAAGGCCTGTTCCATCTGTACCAGAAGAGATGGGGAAGTGTGTGTTAGTGAGTGCTGCAGAGGCAGACACTATCCCCAGGAGACCTTTAGAATACCAGTCTTCCCACCCCCATTAGACAGGTTGCTCTGCCTCTGCTCTGAACTCACCTGCACTGTGATAAGATTCTGTGGAGTATGGCTGGGGCCACAGCTCTCCTCCCAGAAATTCAGTGTTACTTGGAACTTGGGTAGGGGGCCCAGGCCCTGGATGTACCTGGCCAAGTCTGAAAGAGAAAGGGTCAAGGGTCGAAAGAAAGAAAAAAGAGAAGAGAGAAGGCCACAGGCAGGGAGGGAATAGTGAGGAACCCATGATGGCTCTGGCCAGATGGAGACCCAGGCCAGAGCAGGAGCTGCAGGGTCAGTAGAAATGGTCAGACTTGAGTGCAACTCACCCATGTGCAGATAGGAAAGGGTGCTTCTTCCTCAAATAGGAAATGCTTAGAGGTAACAGATTACTGCACAACCTGAAATGCTCTCTGCTGGAGCATTCAGAGTCCTCCCATGCAGCAGCCCTGGCTGCTGACACATGTACCCTAACCTTTGTTGCTCACTCATACCCTCCCAGTATTAGGTTACCCATGGTCCTGGGGACACCCACACTCTGCACACCCTGTACTCCTAGCCCCACTACTGACGTCAGACGACAGTTGAGTGGGGGCTAGAACTGGAATTGCAGGAGCAGATGGGAAAGAAGGGCAGCCCTAGGGAATGCCTGGAGTATGACAGAGACAGGGTGCAGCCAGAGCCAGGGTATGTGATGTGTGCCAGTTCTCCCAAACGTATGTATGGCTATGTATGCCAATGTGTATGTAGGAGACAGCCATGTGGCTCAAAATCTCTGTACCAACTTGTCTGTGCACCTTGACATAATTATCGCATGCTTCAGTGTGATGGTGTTCCCCAAGATGCGACACTCTTGTGCTGAGCTCCACCTGAACTTCTTCTTTCACAGCCTTGGCTGCCAGGTGGCTGTCAGGCTGAGCATATGACCACACAGGATGTGCACCACACAAGTGCAGGGGTCCCATGCACAGGCTACAGTGGAGGCAGATGGGGTGGAGGCAGGGCTCACCAAGCTGGCCTGTGCTAAGAAGTAGGGGATAGGGGCTTAGGTGTCCAGTGGGAGCAGCCTCACCTCTGCAGAAGTGGTCAGGACTGAAGAGCTCCACACACTCGTTGCTGGGCAGCAGATGTGGGCCCGGCCCAGGTGGGGCATGGGGTGCGTTCCAGGAGATGGGGATGGGGCAAAGGCGCTGAACGAAGAGGCCTCGGGGGTTGCTGGCCACCAGGATGCCCTTCTCGAGCTGGCTCAGCAGGCGCTGTGTGGGCTCCAGTGGGCTAGGCTTGGGAAACACCACCTGCTCCATGTTGCTCTTAAAGCCTGAGGGTTCAGCCACGAGGCGGCAGTCCAGGCTGTGCACCTGGGTCTTGCCCACCACACGCCCACTGTAGATGAAGGTGAGCAGCAGCGAGTAGTCTGGGGACAGAACAGCCCGGCTGCACCTGGTGCTGAAGGAGCATGCAGGCTGGCAGCAGCCTCCCTCCCCAGGGTTCCACTTCCACTTCCCCTGCCCCCTCACCAGCCAGGGCTTCCTGATAGGCTTTCCTATCACTCAGGCTATTCATCCTAAGGCCTCATGGATGGGGTCTTGCAGTTTACAAGGCCCCTGGACATCGGACCCTGTTCAGCCCAAAGAAATCAATGTCTCAATGTGGATTTCCAGAAAACAGTGTACAGGGAGGTATTTTTGAGAAGCAAGCCTTTTGGAGTCTGGCCAGACTCAAGGAATTCTCACTGCCTAGAAACCAGTGCCTCAGTCTATGGTAAAGTGGGCTCAGTTTGCTCTAAGCCCAACTGATTGGATAATGCATGCAGAGTCACAGGAAGAAGACCTGAAGGGAACAGGGAGCAGGAAAGAGTCAAAAATGCCAAGTACCTGGCTCTGAAGGGAACAGAAGCTTCAGGGACACCTGATCCCCTGGAAAGGGGGACTCAGTTGTGTCTGCACCTGGAAAGGAGGCAAAGGCACTGGTTATTCAGAGTGGGACTGGGGAGTCCCAAGAGCCAGGGGAATGGCATGGGAGGATGACACAGGAGGCAGGGGAGGTGGTACCTTTCTGTGGCTCAGGGCTGCTGCTACTGCTGCTGCTGCTGCTGCTGCTGCTCCCAATGTCTGAATGGACTGCTCCCCCATCGGCCCCCACCTCTTCCTGCAGACACAGTGTCTCTCATTGGCCCACCTTGCCCTCTGGTTATTGTCCTGCCCTCAGGCCCACTCAGTTCCCTCCCAAGCTCTCACATCATCAAGGGGGTCCTGGAGCACAGAGGGACTGAGTGTGCAGTTCTTCACAGCATCCTCTTCCTCCTCCCTCTCAGAGGACACAGGACTGTGGTGTCGCTTTGATGGTGATTTCTGAGTCCCTGGCTGGGCTATGGAATTGTCGAGGAGAGAAACGTCAGGGTCTTAAGCAGGGACAGAGGGTAAGGAAGAGGTCTGAGGCAGTGAGAGGACGGGCAGGACTAGGAAGGAAAACCTAGGTAGCAGTGCTCCAAGGGCAGGGACAGGGTACAACTCTAAGGGGAGGCACACCATCCTCAGGGGATGCTCAAATCTGTATCCTTCCTCCCCAGTCTGCTGATTCTAGGAGTAGCTGGGGACACTCACCAGAGAGATTTCCTGGTGGCAGCAGCCGATACACCTTGTAGGGCTCGGCAACGTCCATACGGCCTCTCTTGGGTACCTCCTCAAATTCAGGACTCTTGTTGAGGGCACAGCGCAGGCGAGTCTTCCAGGCAGCAGGGCCTCCTGTGTCTCCCTCCTTAAACTTTCCCTTAAATACTGCCCAGGCCTAGGAAAGAAAGGAAGAGGCAGTGGGTTTCAGACCCCAGCTACCCCTGCATCAGGACTGGCTTCACAAGCATGCAGCCTGAGCACTCTCACAGGGCCCTGAGCTCAGAAGGGCTCATGTAAGGTTTGTGTTCTGTTGCCATCTTGAAATCCTTAATAATTTTTGAATGAGGCCTCTACATTTTCATTGTGCGCTGGAGTCTGCAAATGAAGCAGCTGGTTTTACTCTCCAATCTCTTCTTTATCTTTAACCCAGGCACTTGAGGATAAGTGTACCAGCGTATACTCCATCCCTCACTCGGAGGGGAGAGTAGTTTCCAGGTCCTTTCACCTTGAAGAAGGCAGCATCCTGGTCCTCCCGGAAGTCCTGCTTGCCTGCATGCTTCCAGGGAATCCGGAACATGGTCCTAGCTGCATCATCCCAGCACACCCCTGGGAACTGCCCGCTCTCTACTTGCTCCACTACCCAGTTCCGGAGTTTTCGGGTGCTGCGTGCCCTGCCTGATGCCATCCTGGGAGAGAAGAGGAGCAGGAAGCATCAGAACTGACACTTTGGGAGGGAACATCTCTTGGCCACTGGGGCTAAAGTCTAGCAATGGCCCCAGCAACCCCATCCATCTTCTTTTGGCTCTAGACATATCTCAACGTTCTCTGAGGTAGAATTTTTTCCTTTCTGCCATCATTACAATTACCAAAAAAAACCCACTGTTCCTTTTAACATTCTAAGCTGTAACACCTGGAAGGAAACCTTAGGCAATGGTATTAATTTTAGGACTTTTCAGGAATGTATTCTTTGGGAGAAAAAATACCCCCGGTGATCTGTTCTGGTGAGAAGCCTGCCTGGATTCCTGAGCAGTTGCTGAAGCGACGTCTGCTCCCGAGATGCATCAGCCCTCTTCACCTACCACCCCACAACTCTTACGTGCTACCCTGGGGCTCCCATCCCTCTGCTTGCCCTATGGGGTAGGTGGGGCAGGAAGCTGGGGCAGGGGTGGGGTTGAAGCAAAAGTGGGCAGGGCCAGATGGCTAGAAGACAAAAACAGGGTTAACTGAGGCTGGGGCAGATTTCCTTGCTGAACAAACTGGCAGCAGGTCCCCTTGTCTTTTGCCTGCAAGGGGCCTCGTGCACTGGCCCTTGTTAGTATCTCTCTTTCAGGCCAAACCTCCCACTTCCTGACTCAAGGCCTTCAGTGTATCCCAGTCTAGCAGAGGGAACCCCAGGCCTCCCTACTCCCCTTCGATATGGCTGGCCCCTCCAGCCCTAGGTCACAGGATGACTCCCATCCTTGGCTGATCTTACCTGAGCTGCTGTCCAGGCTGTCCCAGGGCTCGGAGGGCCTCAGCTTAACTCCTGGCTAGGCGGTTGATCTCTCCGCCCCTTCCTACAGTCCCCACCCTAAGTTTCAGTTCTCCTCCAGGGACGGCCTTTCCCAGAAATCACGTGTTCTGAGGTGCAGGGCAGTCGTCTGCCACCAGGGGGAAGTAACATCTGAGACTCTCACAGCCTCTGTCCTCTGCTTTACTGGGCTCAGCTCCTGCCTGGCTGTTCATACCCTTCCTCCCTCAAATATTCTTGGCTTTTATCTGACCTTCTCAGTGTAATACTGTAGCCTCCCCAGAGAAGCCAGTTTCCTGGAGTGGCCTGAGCCCTTTGGAATGCTGTGTACACCTGTGCATCTGTGTTTCCCCACAGTGACTACTTGGTACATATTAGGTAACCTCAAATACCAGCCAAACTTCATGAAAGGAAGAAGGGAGACAGGGATGGAGGAAGCCCAGGCCAGGTGATTGGATGGGGAGGGCCTGCTTTGCCCAGCCACAGCGTCTGTTCTTTCCTGGCCCCGAGTATAGGGTGGGCCAGGTAATAGGCTGTGTGTGGGGAGGCTTTCAGCAAAGCTGTTTACCCCCCATTTCCCTGGTGCCCCTAGATGGTGGGGCCAGGAAGAAGGACCACCGAGAAGGCTGGGCGATCAGATGCCTCTTTATTGGAGCTGGAGCTGTTCCTGAAGGACTCAGGCCAAGGGACCCTCATCAGGACCCTTGCCCTCAGCTACTTCCTCCTGCGAGGGATACTCTGTCCCAAGGGCACCTCTTCTGTCAGCTTCTGCAGAAGGAGAGAGAAGGTAATTATACTAGAAGTCTGCAGCTCAGACATAGGCAGGAACAGGTGACTTCTGGAGGGTAGGGTCAGAAGTAAGACTGGATGGAGGCTGTACCTGTAACAAGCGGGCGTGGTAGCCAGGGGGATCTTCTCCAGCCACTGGCTGGGGTCGCACATGCAGGTAGCGCTCAGTGGCTGTCTCCAGCTCTTCTACCTCATACAGGGTGGCTGGGTCCAGTGAGTGGGCATTGATGAGGCTCACAAGATACTCTTTGTAGTGTGCCCTGGGGAGATAAGGGAGCAGAATATTTGTTTTGTTGGCTAATATTAACAGAATCTGCCTAGCATGTTGCTGGGCACTGCCACACTTGGACGAACAAGACTGATAACCCCTAGGCCAGGCACAGTGGCTCAAGTCTGTAATCCCAGCACTCTGGGAGGCTGAGGCGAGAGGATTACCTGAGCTTAGGGGTTCGAGACCAGCCTGGGCAACTTTGTGAGCCTTTATCTCTACAATACATCAAAAAATAAGCAGGGCTGGGCTCGGTGGCTCAGCCTGTAATCCTGCACCATTGGGAGGCTGAGGTGAGTGGATTGCCTGGTCCTGCGGGTTCCAGACCCGCCTGGGCAGCGAGACCTCATCTCTACAATAAATCAAAAAATCAGCCGGGCGTGGTAGCACATGCCTGTAATTCTGGCTACTTGGAAGGCTGAGGCGGAAGGATCGCCTGAACCCAGCAGGTCAAGGCTGCAGTAGCCGTGAGTGTGCCACTGCACTCCAACTTGGGCAACAGAGTGAGACTCTGACTCAAAACAAACAAACAAACAAACAACAAAGACAACCCCTATCTGTTGTCCTGCCTGTGCACACTGCTGGCTACTACCTATCCATGTCTGTCCTTGCCCAAGGAATCCCCTCCCTCCCACTCCTTGCAGGATCTATTCCTAGAGACCTACTCTACTGCCTAGGCGTGCCCTCACCACTCCTACCACCAGATCCATGCCCCACTGGTACTCACTGGCAAAGTCCAGCATAGCCCGCTGGAGTTTCCTTGCCACAAGCTTCGTCCCTAAGCCCATTGGGAACCTCCTTCTGCTCCATCACTCGGCAGCCACCTAAAGGTGAAGGAAGGAAACTTTTGTTGGGAGGATGCCACTGACCATAAAGCCCCATGAGAACTGGGATATCCATAGCAAGGAAAGCAGTCTCCCGGGAGGGGACTGAGCACAGGAACTCTTGCTACCCCTCAGTGATGGTGGGTACTGAGAGATGCCATCAGTAGCAAACCAACTCTGATACAGAGGCAGGGAACATGTCCTTACGTTTATCCAAGTTGGCCTTTGGCTTGTAAACACATACTATCTTGAGTCAACCCTTTTGGTAGTTATTTAGCTCTTGCATAGTTAACTTATTCTGTAAAGGTTCTACCTCTATTTTTAAAAAATAATTTATAGCACCTGGTATTCCAGAAAGTCACCCATCCAAGTACTAACCCGGTCCAACCCTGCTTAGCTTACAAGATCAGATGAGGTTAGGCACGTTCAGGGTGGCATGGCTGAAGACTTACCTCTATCTACATTGTAAAAAAGGAGGTAGGTTGGAACCATAGGTAATGCCTTTCTGTTGCCCTCATGGAACCTAAAACAGTGCTCTGCAACTAGCAAGTCTCATAAAAAACTCACTGAGTAAATTAATGAGTCATCATTTGGAAATGGTAGAAGAAAATCAGCATTAAGGGCTTCATGAGTGCCAGGTGCTTATGAGGTCTTATGCTGTAAAAACAGCTTAGCTGCAAGTTGGATATGCAAGGCCCATTTAACAGAGGAGGAAACAAGGCCTGGGAAGGTTAATTAACTCGCCAAAGGGCACTTGCCAAAGTGATCCAGACCCAAGTCTTTCCTTTACCCATCACATGGTGAGGGCCCAGCAACCATTTCCCATTCTCAAAATCTTGTCCCAACACTCACCTCCAGGGACTGCCCGGGCCCCAGCTGGAGGTTCTGTATTAAACATGATGTTATTGTCCTGAGAAGGAGCAGAGACAGATGGACATTATGTTCCCCTTGATGCCAGTCCCTGTTGCATTTCCCAGCATATAGCCTTTTCCATTCTTGCCCACCCTGAGCCCTGCCTTCTTTTTCTCCTGGGCAACTGGCAAACCCAGCCAAGCTGGCCACCTCTGACCTGCAGCAACTTCTGGAGTCGGAGAGCAGTCCAGTCCCGCAGGTAGAAGAGGCAGTCTCGAGGGTGGTGGCCGTGCAGGGACTTTTTCACCCTGCAGTTAGGGTCTGGACATTTCTGGCAGAAACCCAGATGGGAGAGGGGAAGTTGGAGACTGTTGGGGTCCTGGCCTCTCAAGAACCCCTGCGTGAGGGGTGTAGGGGTGAGGGGAGATGGAGACATTGGAGGGTCTGGAGCAAGCAAAGGGGGAGAAGGGACAGAGAGATGTGCTTTACATCCCACTGACCTGCTCTCCTCCCCAGGCCACTCCTCAATGGCCTCTGCCCCTCAAACCCAATTGCAGCCTCCCGCCCTTCTACCCCATCCCCACTCTCTGGGCTCACATTCTTGGCGTAAAAGGCATTGTAGCAGCCACTGCAAAACTGGTGGCGGCACTGGGTGCAGTGAAAGTGCATGCAGCCTCCTCGAGCCAGCGCATATGAGAACTTGCACTTGGGGCAGTCTGTAAGGGAGGAGGTCAGGGCTGAGGCTGCCACTGCAACTAAAGGCCTTCAAGAAGAGAGTTGCTGGCAATGACAGACTTTGGAGCAAACAAGCCAAGTGAGGAGGGCTTACCAATGCCATTTTCCTGAAGATACATTGCCAAGCCCTGGGCCTGGTATTCTGGGTCGTTCATGCGTTTCCAGTTCTGGAAATCCTCACAGCTCCGGCCCCGGTGCTGCTCCTCCCACTGTCAGAGGAATTTATCAGGCTTCAAATTCTATCCCATATCCTAACCCTTCTTGCTGGCCCCTCCACTTCCATCCAGTGGTCACTGCCATCCACCACTTCCTCAAAGCCCAAACTGAGGAATCATCCTTGGTTCTTTCATCTCCTTAGACCACGTCACATTCATTAGGAAGTCTTGTTACCACCACCCAAGCCTATCTCAACCCTGTTTCCTTTTTTTTTTTTTTTTTTTTTTGTTGGAGTCTCACTCTGTCGCCCAGGCTGGAGGGCAGCGGCACGCTCCCGGCCAACCACAGCCTTGACCTGCTGGGCTCTGGCGATCCTTCCGCCTC